GTCGATGTCATCCACTGTGTCGAGCGGTGGGTTGTCGTCGATGTGGCGGTCGACCACGCGTCGAAACTGGACCCAGTTGACTCGATGGTAGTCCTTCCGCTGGCACGGTGCAGGGGCCACGTTGTAGCCCAGCTCGGTCAGCACCGGTTGGTGGTCCGAACTCAGGTCGTTGACGGCAACCGGCTTGGCTAATCTGGTGTTTGCCAAGAACAGGTCCAGCGTCGATGGGTTGCCCGTCGGTGATGTGAAGGTTGGTTCGTCCGGAAACCAGACGGAATAGAGACCATGCTGGGAATGGTCGAATAGCAGGCGGCCGTTCTGGTTCTGCTGGTAGTTCCGCCAGGCCTCGTGCCGGGCGTTCAGGTCCCCTCCGATTACAAAGCGGGCATTGGTGTGGGTTATGATGGCAAGGTCGTTCTTGAACTGCTGTGCAGTACCATTGCTAACGGTACATTGCCGGGGGCAGTAGACAACGATGAACCGGACGTTTCCGGTCGATGTTTCCACCTCAACGCCGACGGCCTCGATGATGGAAGTGCGGTAGTGGGGTAGGGTGCAGTACTTGATGCCTTTCTTGATGATGACCGCGACACCGCCCCCCCTGGAGCTGGTGCGATCAAGCCGGACAATGCTGTGGTCGGGCAGCCAGAAGCTGTCACCGGTCTTGAGGTGGGTCTCGGTGAGAAGGCCCACGTCGATGTCGTGCTTGCGGAGGAAGTCTGCAAGCTCAATGTTTTTCGCCCCTACGGAGCGAGCGTTCCAGTTGGCGATCTTTATGGGTTCACGGTCCATAATTAGCGACGAAGGAGATGATAGCTTGGAGCTGTTGTGTTCTTGTTGCGCAGGTGCGCTTGATGATGATGGCCTGGGCCAACAGTGTGACGATCTCATCCGTTGACAGCGGAGAATCGTCTGTAGCTTCACCGGTTGTACCGGCCAATCCCGGAGCAGGGGGATCCGTCGATGGGCCGGAGGCTTGACTGGGTACTGCAGCGGCAGCCGACTGGGCAGCAGCCAACTGTTGGTTGAGCGGGAGCGACGCCAACACTGGAATTGGCCGTGGTTGGACCGGTGATAACGGAGGAAAGTTCTGCGCGTTGTTTTCCGGGACCTTCTTGCGACCGGGCTGGTTGTTGGACGAGGCCTTCTTCCGGATCTCGGCGTATTCGGCCCGCTTCGGACAGGCCTTACTCGTGGCCTTGTGGGCAGCACCGCAGTTGGCGCATGTGGGAGCGGCTTCCTCGATGCTGTCGCAGTCGTCGATCTTGTGGTTTTTGCCGCATTTGATGCAGCGGCTGGCCATGCGGCAGTTCCTGGTGCCGTGCCCGAACAATAGGCAGTTCGAGCACTGAGTGACGCCACGGTGGGTTGGCTTATACCGCTCCCACTTCACTACGATGTGGAACAGTGTGCGTGTCGTATGGAGATCCTTCACGGTTGTGGAGTTCTTCTGCAGATTTTTTTTTTTTTTTTTATAATTCGTTTATTTTTCCAGGCTCATTTGCTGTAGCTTTGCGGAGCCGATATTCATTGTTTAAATAACAAAATTACTTAAAACTAACGTTAGTAAAGCGGAGGCCGATTACTCGCGGCTATCTCGAGGTTAGAGGTAACAAATTGTAACAAATGGATGGCAGGGTAGGGATTGTGAACACAAGGTTTGGAGAGCAATGTGCATTTGATCTCGAACTAGGCGACACTCTGATGAAAAAGACAAACATGGGGGTACACCGATGGGCAACTAACAACTTGGGAGAACACAAGATGACACTAACTACTAAATCCTCAAATCTATCCGTTTTAAAAACACATAAATTAAATTCAAATAGTCGAGGTCTCGGCTCGCCAAGACATCTCTAACGGGTATCGCGGGTTGTTTTCCTCGGGCCCTGAGGGATATGGATAACTCAGATCTGGCAACACGGTGTAAGGTACATGACCAAACAACGTGCTCGATATCGTGATAACCACTGCCACACGCACATAAATTGCTGCCTGAGAGCCCAATTCGATAGAAATGCGAGTCTAACGAGCAGTGATTGGACATAAGCCTTGATATAACGCGTATAAAGTCGCGGCTCATGTCCAACCCTTTGAACCATGGCTTGTTCGACACCTGAGGGAGAATAGAATGTAACCATCTTCCCAATTCACCATCATTCCATTTGTGTTGCCAACTGATGAGGACTTGCTGACGAGCAATGGAGAAAAATTCGTTGAAGGCGATTTGTCGCTCAAAAATATCGCCTTCCATAGCGCCCACCTTAGCCAACGAGTCCGCTTTCTCATTACCCGGAATTGAGCAATGAGATGGGACCCAAGCTAAGGTGATAGTATAGGAGCAGTTAGATAAAGCACTCAGTTTAGATCGTATTTCAGGCAGGAAATACGAGGAGTGCTTCATCGGCCTCATTGAACGAATAGCCTCCAATGAGCTAAGACTATCCGGAAAAATAAAATAATGGTCAGACGGTAGTGAGGCGATTCGCTCTACTGCGTAAAATATAGCTGCGAGTTCCGCAACGTATACTGAGCATGGTTTCTGCAGTTTATAAGAGGCGCTATGAAATTGATTAAATACACCAAATCCAGTGGAAGCATTTATGGTTGACCCATCTGTGAAAAATCTTTTATCGTTACTTACATGGTGGTACTTGATTGCAAAAATTGAGGGAACAACCATCGACCGATGGTGATCTGGTATTCCATGGATTTCTTGTATCATGGTCAGATCAAAATTTACAGAGGAACTATAGAAGGCTTGAAAGCAATCACGATTGGAGATTAATGAAGAAGGACCAACCTCCAGCGTCATGTACTCATAGTACAAACTCATGAATCTTGTTTGAGGATTTCTGTCGAGTAGCTTCTCAAAATTTTCTATTACCAATGGGTTCATTACTTCACAACGGATAAGAAACCGGAAGGACAATTCCGCGAAACGATCTGTCAGTGGGAGAACACCCGCGAGTACTTCGAGGCTCATCGTATGCGTCGAGTGCATACAGCCAAGCGCGATTCGGAGGCAACGGTATTGAACCCGTTGCAGCTTCAAGATATGTGTTTTTGCCGCGGATTGAAAGCAGAAGCTACCGTACTCTAGAACCGACAAGATGGTTGTTTGATACAACCTGATCAGATCTTCCGGGTGTGCTCCCCACCAAGTTCCAGTAATTGTACGAAGAAAATTAATTCTTTGCTGGCATTTTTGTTTCAGATACGCAATATGTTTTCCCCATGTGCATTTGGAATCGAACCAGACACCTAAATACTTAAAAGAAATACTTTGAGTGATTGTTTTACCCATTAGCTGAAGCTGTAACTGTGCAGGATGGTGCTTCCTAGAAAAAACAACCAACTCAGTTTTCTCCGGAGAGAATTCGATACCCAGCTTCAAAGCCCAAGTAGACAAGTTGTCTAAGGTATCTTGCAATGGTCCTTGCAGGTCCGGTGCACTTGGCCCTATAACAGACACAACGCCGTCATCTGCAAGCTGCCTTAGCGAGCAATTTTCATCAAGACAACCATCAATGTCTTTGACATAAAAATTATAAAGAAGGGGGCTTAAACATGAGCCCTGGGGGAGACCCATGTAACTAATTCGTGAAGTTGTCGAGTTTCCATGAGAAAAGCTCATATATTTCTCAGACAACAAGTGGCTCAAATAGTTGTTCATAATTGGTGAAAGCCCACTATCGTGGAGTTTATCCGAAAGGACATCGATACAAACAGAATCAAAAGCCCCCTTAATGTCCAAGAAAACTGAACCCATTTGCTGTTTTTGCGCATAGGCCAGTTGAATTTCAGTTGAAAGCAACGCAAGACAGTCGCTTCTTCTGCAGATGGACCAAGTAGAGCTGGTCACGATACTTGATGGCCTTGCTGCGGGTCATCTTGTGGATTTCGACCGGCTTGAGGCCGTTCGCCTTAATCTCGTCCATTAAGGTGGTGGTGTCCATGTCGTGGAGCCCGCGCAGCACCACTTTCAGCGGCTTGGTGGCCTCGACGTCGTGGGAGAAGTACTCCAGCTTCATCCTGTCCAAGAGGGCCTGGACTGCGTTGTAGTGATTTTCGGCCGAGACCATCAGTTTGTAGCCTTCCGTGCACCGTTGAATGGTGCAGCGAAGGCCCTGCTTAATGTAGAAATCCAGCTGCTCCCATAGCCCGGGAGGGAAGCCCTTCACATAGAAGGGTGGCAACTTAACTTTTTTAGGCACCGTCTCAGGGTCCGACTGCGGCTGGGCTCCGTTCTACAGGGCGGAGAACGGATTGTTGCTCAGCAGCTTTTTTGCTGCCGATGCGGTGGCGCTGATGTCTTCAGGTCTGGGTCGTTTAGTTCCGGGAGGCCCCGGCTGCGGGTCCGCAACGCCTGTCGGGACGGGCAATGGGGTTTTCTTCTGCTTCTTCTGAGCTGGCTCGGTGGTCGCGCCGTCTCCTGGGAGAGTCTGTTTTCCCGGTAAGCCGGCACTCGCGTTACCGCGCGATTTCTTACCCATGGCTGGGTCAGCGAGAGCGTCACTATACAACGCGGAGCTAATTCGACTTGCGAACGAACGAACGAACTGACTAGAAGTGAAATTACTTCGTTTTATAAGTTTGTGCATCAGTTGAGAAATAGTGGACGATCATCAATTTCCATGCTTTAAACTACAATTCTAATGTATCCGTTGCACAATATGAGCGTTACGATGTATAAAACATGAAAACTAAATATGCTTACTAGCTAATGCCAAAACAGGCTCACCTACTCATTTTTTTTAACACCGCCAATTGTATTGAAGAACATTAAAAAGTTCACAAAAATGATCAGAAACAAAAAGAAACCAATTCACTTAGCTGTCAGCTATCAATCACATACGTGAACGTGTAACCTTAACAGAAGAAAAAACTTCCAACCGTTTGACCAGAGAAATCTCATTATTATGATTGATTATATTTGTTCCACCTCGGCGGGTACCGCAAAGTGCACCATCGTTTAGTTCCAAACTAAACCACTTTCATCACAATGAAGTATCCATCAATTTAGCCGCCACACCGTCGTCGCTGTCCTCGGCGGTCTCGTCGTCATCATCACCGCCGTTGTCCACCTGAAGTCCAAGAAAGAAAAACAACAATCTCATAACCATCAGTGTGTAGTGTCCACCCACAGCGCTGTAACAGCAGTTTTCCGGGAAATGGGAAAACTTTTTTTTAACAGCCAATCACATAAAAATGTTTACCATCATCCATAAACATATTGCAACCCGGAGAGAGTGACGCGTGCTGCTCCCTGGTTGGTCGTGAAAATCCACTGATAATACGGAATTGCACGTTAAAGCTTCTTTTCTTTTCGTTTTTATGCGAACGACTGTCTAAGAAGGCTTTACAACCGTTCTTTTTTTTTTGTGGTGGCTTCTGCTCTCGTTTTCAGCGTCAAGTATGGGTGTGGATAGGGCTCGGGAAACATAACGTATGAGATGGGCGGTAAAATGGGAATAAATCAATGAATGAAAATGCTCTCCTCGAATGGTGAGGAAGGAGGGAAAAAGCGGACGATATAAATTCCATTCTGATTATACGGACGGTTGAATATGGATGATGGGCGAGTGAAAATATTCATGAATACAATAATTCAAATATGATTACAGCATAACTTGCATAAACGGTTCCTGCCACGGTGTCGGAGGGTGGATTTTTCTTCTATCGTACTTAGGAAGTGGGGATGGAGGCCATCACCAGAGCAATGTCAGCCAGCAGTGTCAAGAGTGGTTCATTCTTCAAGTAGCGCGATGACATGCTCCTCTGAGAAATGGCTCCGTCGGCGTGCGTCTTGCGTGAAGAAGGAGGGGACGTTTGATGAATGTGATTCCTTACACATGAGCCTAGGAGAATATTTGTCAACGGCTGAGTGCGTGCTCTTGTCGTGCACCAGGGCGGGATGTGACTGTGACTATGAATATTTTTGCATATCATTTCCCTGAACGTGGTGCGCTGCTTCTTTATCGTAGAAAGTGATAAGACACATTGTTCTTTCGACTGTATGTACGACCGTCTTCCAGCTTCCCGGAGAGACCAAGGCAAGGAGGAGGCTGAATGACATGGAATTCATCAAAAATCAATTTTCTCAGCTGCAGAAGGAAGCGTTCGGCAAGAGGCGGTAGCAGATTGCTGCAGCAGTCGGGTAATTGATTTATGTAGCGTTTGAGATTGTCGGGTCGCATGTCTACTGATGTGTGGGAATTCAAAACACCTTTATATGTAGAGATTGTCGATTCCTTTAATAGAATATCTTCATGTCACAACACCAAGACGATCACAAAGAAAAAACGACATCGGAAGCATTCAAGCTCCAACCCATAATGTGGATGTGAATACCCTCTTCAATCATTAAAATTCCAATGACCTTCTCCTCGATCAGTCCCTCTCTATTAGCGCAAACTGTCAAGTTCTCACCATCAACGAGACAGCGCAACGGGCCGAACGAAATATGGCAGTCACCACATTAGCAATCATTCACGGTCGTTTACTCTTTCCATGTTGCCCATGTGGGCTACGCCCCTACCTCTTCTAGCCGAGAAACGTGTCGCGTATTGATTCAGACCTAACATAATGTGCCGCCAAAGAGAACACCCAACGCAGATCATCCTCCGACTATGCCGGGACAGATGGGATAGAGCAGATCAAAATATTTATCTTGTTGGTACTGTCACAGCTCACCGAAATGCTTAACGAGTGTGCTGCCTATAATCGCATATCAGTCCCATATGGACTTTCGGCAGTTTTGAGATAACAACGATTTCATAATATGCGATGAAACTATGAACTTTGATCATGAAAAATGTGAAAGCAACATCAAGTCAGTTTGTCCCATCAAGCAAAATAATCGCATATCAGCCCCATCCTGAAATTCAATCGTCCATAGTTCAAGTTAAAGTTTTGCTTTTCGAATTGTCATATTTTTTTCTGATATAACAAAACATTCATTGCAATTTGAAAAAAAAATTATCAATAAATTAACTATGATTTTTCAAATACAGTCAAACCGATATAGTGGTTCTCAGAACTTCGTAAAAATTGGCAGTTCCAATAAGGAACAAATATCGCAAAATATAAGACTTAAATTTTATTTATTTTGTTATTTGTATGACCATTTCCATATTAAAGTGGTCCAAAAATTGTTTTTTTTTTTTTTTCAAAAATTATTTTTTTTCAAAATTTACACCTTTTGAGAAATAATTAAAAATACTTTTTAGTAAAAATATAATGATATAAAAAAAATTAATTTTGCATTGAAAAACATTGATTGCATTTGTTTATTTAGGGTTTTCATGGTTTGTAGATAGAGGGTGCAAAATGTTTTTATATTTTCCTTGAAAATATAGGCTTTTTTATACATTGTATAAAAAAATCACCGATGGGTTTTTTTTTTCGTTTTTATGCAACTAGACTACCATGCGTCGTGACCATGTTACATTCACTATACCTCAATGGAGACGCATGGTAGTCTAGTAGCATAGGAGTATTGAGCGAGAACCCCAAACTCGATAACTTAAATAAAAATAAAACTCAAAAACAAACAATCACTGATTTGTTTATATGTTGTGTAAAAAGGCCTAAATTATCAAGGAAAATTACAAAAATATATTGCGCCCTCTGTCTACAAACCATGAAAATCATAAAAAATAAATACAATCAATGTTTTGCAATACAAAATCATATTTTTTTAGAATATCGTTATATAATTCCTAAGAAGTATTTTTAATAACCTTTTATTTGAAATTTTGATCTTTGAAAGCGGCAAAGTGGTTCAAAAGTTATGAATATTTGAAAAAAGCCATTGGGCGATTTCACGAGAGTTTGAATGTTTACTTCTCATCTATGAAGAATGCTCGGACTTTTCTTTTGATACCGCCCGTTAGATTCTGCACAACTTTTTTCTTAACTTTTCGTTGTGCTGCAGACCAAATTTTCTTGAAGCAGTCAACAGAGCTTTCTTCTCTGCCATCTTTCTTAAAATGCCGTTTAATTATTGCCCAATATCTTTCGATAGGACGAAGTTCAGGGCAGTTTGGGGGATTGTGGAATTTTTCGACAAAATCGACTTTTTCCTTATTGAGCATCTCCAACGTAGCAGAAGCATAGAGAGCAGATGCCAGATCCAGCCAATGGAGGTAGATGGGTAGAAGCCGGTTTTTGATGCATTCTTCTCTGTAATTTCCACCATTGATTGTGCCCGTTGTGAAATACGAAGAACTCTTCAAGCCACAGGAGTAAATGGCTTGCCATACCAAAAGCTTTTTTCCAAATTTTTCAGTTCGGATGTCTCGCACATCATCAAGCACATCTGTCCTCTGCTCAGCGTTGAAAAATGGCGTCCCGGGAAGTGTACTGGTATCCAATTTGACGTACGTCTTGTCGTGAATCAAAATGCACCGGTTTGGCTTTAGAAGGAGAACGTCATACAAGTTCCATGACCGTATTTTTTAAGAAGCTTTCTGTGAATCGTTGGGTGCTTTTTGCTTCTTGTAGGTACTGATATTGTTACGTTTTTTGATATTCTGCACAGTTCCGACGCTAATGTCCAATTTTTTGGCAATTTCATGAACGCAACACGGTTTATGCGATTTCAAAAGGCGTACTGCTGCCAGCTCCTTTTTCTGGTCCGATGCCCCCTTTTTGCGCCCAGATTTCGGCAAATCTTCAAGAGAATACGTTTCTCCAAACTTCTTAACAATCTTGAACACTGTAGATTTACCATAGAGGTAACTCTAAGACTAGAAGATCCCGAAATAACGTGTTCAACTTTTTGGCTCAGCTCTGGTACTCTCTTCGGTCCCACGCTAATCGATTCACCCCTCAAAACATAGGAAAAACCAATAACCCCTCATTTTATCTGTCAAACTTTCATAGCGAATCAAAACAAACAGTGCGTAGTACTAGAATTTCGACTAGAATGGGGTATGTTAATCGTTTGCTTGGAACCAATAGGCTAGTCAAGTAGTAAGCCAATTTAAAATCGTTAGTTTCGTATTGATTGTTGGATTTACTGCACTTCACGCTTTTTGCCAATTCTCGAAACGACAACTTTTCGGAAAACCATTTGTGCAGAATTGATCTGCGAGATGATAAGCTGATCCGAAACATCGTTCGAAATTTCACACTTAATTTTTATTTTTCAGGTGTGTTGCCAAAATAAGCAATGTTTTTACACACTGAGCGAAATTTCACAATTTTTTGTTACGTTTTAACCCTACGCCATTGCACAGTGGTCCAGGATTGGAATTTAGCAAGACAAAAGTCCATAGTACTTTTGTTTTATGATTTAGGCGTTTGGTGTCTTGAGTGAAGTTTTTCTTCTTAAAACTATCCTTCTTGTGGTGCCTTCAAACATTAGGGTGATCCTTTAATTTTTTATAATCCAAAAACTTACTTTCTTATTTAAAAAAAATAAAGACACACATTGTTCAAAGAAGTTGTTGGCAAATTAAGTTGTTGGCAAATTAAGTTGTTGGCAAATTAAGTTGTTGGTAAATTAAGTTGTTGGCAAATTAAGAACATTTTTTTTTACTAAGCACACCATACTACAAATTGGCATATGCAGCAAAGAAGCGCAGGAAACGCGTAATAAGTCGATTAGGAAATTTCGAGAATTTCATGCGCGAAAGTTCAATAGGCTTGTTAATATTGAAGATGTATTTTTGAGGTTGCTTTTGACATCTGACCCCCTGATTTTCCTTAGAAATAGAGCTTCACCAAATCAATCTACTTTAGAATTACCAGATAATGCGAAATATCTGCTGGCGGATTACATTAGTATTATTTTTATTTTTATTAAATAAATTGATTAATTAATAAGGAATAAAAACACTTCGATAAGAAACAAAAACATAACATACACAAACTTGAACGAATGCTGAACACGACGTACTCAAATGATGGTCACCTTTCAAACATACTTGACAACTTTCTATTTTACAAGAAGCTAACATTTTTTTTGAGCAGTCATTTCATAACCTTTTCTTGACTGTTTCCTGTTAATTTACAATTTTACATAAAAATATATTAGGAAGACTTTTGTAGTTTAGCAAGACACACGTTTTTCTTTTAA